AGCTAGATAGCTAGCTAGATGGATAGATAGACAGATATATAATTAGATATGGATATAGATAGATAGATAGATAGATAGATAGATAGATAGATGTTATGAAGAATGTAATGAGTTACCGTTATAGATTAATAGAAAGCTAGATAGATCTTGTGAAGACCTGGAAATAGACGTTCTTGTAAATAGATAGATAGATAGATAGATAGATAGACAGCCAGCCAGCCAGCCAGCCAGACATTCATCTTTCATTTAAAACATATCTGTAAAAATAAAATGCGTAACTATTGTTATTGATTTAATTCTGGACATAGAAACTGCCATTGTTCTCTCTATATTTTCCTTTGTTATAGTCAGATGTTCCTAGACGGAAAAGAAAAATAAGACAAGATCAAACCATTGCCAGATTATATTTTTTTGTGAAACTTCTTACTGTATCATTTTAATTTATTAGAAAAACATTCTCTAACTCGAAAGAATAAGTATATTTTCACTGGATGAGATTTCACTTGTTTTGCTACACTATGCCACAACATAATAAGCAGCTCTTAAATTTCATTGTTTAATCTTGAAAAATATCTATTGAATGATAATTGCTTTTAGACAAAGCATATGAATCGATTATTCCTCATGGAAATTTATTTTAAACCAAAACAGTTTTTGTTTTAAACTTTCATAACGCCTCATAAATTAACATGCCTCAATTTTCAATTGATTTCTCGTTCTTCTTCAAACAAAACTATTTTATTAAAAATGTCAAAAAATAATCCAATGCACGGTGTTCAAAATCCAGTCTGATATCTTGGTTGATGTCTACATATCAAATTAACAAATTTCATTTGCAAAAACTCAGATATTCATAAAACACTCTTTCTTTCCTAACTTTGCTATGTCTGCTTTTTGTATTATATTTCATGACGAGATCAGAATATTACAGTTTACGGTAAGCCTGCCATCTTATTTAATATTTTAGAGTTAGTTCTTAATCACTTGGTATGACATCGCTTAAACAAGATACCAGTTTTCATTCGAGCCGTTCTCGAACCTTCTCTCCTGATTCAAGATATCACTTGATTACCCTAACATGTAATGAATTGAACAACCACATTAAACCACTGTTTATACAGACGATTAGATTTCTCTATCACAAAGATTAAGTTAGCATAAGCAGATAGGATTATGTTTCATATTAATCATTGTGTGTCAATTGAGGGCTTCGGTCCTTCAGCAGTCTCCACCGTCGTACATTTGATGAGTTCTTCGAAACATAGACAAATCCTGACACATGTTTACAAAAGAGGGGATGAGAGGGTAAACCAGCTCAAGACGTGTTCAATGTTGGGGAAATAATGCTATATCAGAGTTAGTGAAATTATCAAATATGATTGCAATAAATTTGTTGTTCTTAATATTCATCAAAATCCGTCTGGAGGCCAACAGTTAACTCGGTATCTATACTGAGGCCACAACTATTTACTCCTGTCTCGATAATAAGTCTGATCAGTTCGATAAAGTGAAATTGCCAAGTGACCTCAAATATCAGCTCCAGTCTATGTTAACTGAAACAAGAAATGACATGTTACTTTTAAAACATCCGAAACGAAACAGCGCCATTTTAATTGACTTAGAGGTCAGTTTTGTCTTCTATCAACATGACTGATGCTATCCTCGACTTTTGATTCATCGTGCCTTCTAGGGCTAATGATTTGTTTTCTCTGCTGAGAAGAAGTAGTAAGATTATATTGAATCAATTGCTAGGATGGTTGCTATATTTGATACTTTGATTCCAGAGATTTTTCTCACTAGAATCTATTTTCTCATTTATAAGTTTACTATTCGCCCATGCATTAAATATTATTGTCACATCTGTTCTGGTGTTTTTGCTAAGTATTTACGGATTCTTGATATAATTTAAAAGGAATTTGCAATATTATCGTTCTTAGTTTAGCATTTCCGGTTCAGTCACTTTCATGCAGACGTAATGTATTAATTTAGATAGATAGATAGATAGATAGATAGAAAATAAGTTGGTCTTCCATTTAAATTAAATATATCTGTGCATTTTTAGTGATATTTTCATGTTAATTGTTCTGATGAGCTTTGGTTTTTGATGCCTCAATTTTGCGAACTTAAACGCAATATAGACTAGAGGCATGGTCTCATCATTTTATTTATTAAAATTGCTAGATATAACCCTAATGTTTTATACTAATGTTTTCTCCTCTCGCATTTCTCTCTTGTGAAAATCTCTTCCGTCTTCTTGTTATCCAGTCAGCGTCGATATTCAAGATTTTATATGCAATGTTGTTATCTTCTGCCTTATTAACTATTACTTTTTTTTTATTTTTATCTCAATGTAATAATTTTTCTCGTTTTTTTCACACTCAGTACCCGTTGTGTCAATGGCTTTATTGCCTTGCTTAGGGTGAAATGATTTTAAAAAATGTATAAGAATTAGCTATATTTAGAGATCTGTTTTTGTTTGTATATTTACTCAAATGATGATGTACAGTGGCCTAAGAAAATTTTTTCAGCCAGGAGAAATAAAATACATCCAATTTTAAAATTTAATTAAGTAATCCCAAGTCAATATAAATAAACAGTATTTGGAACTAGTATGTTATCCATTTGCTACTTTCATTGATTGTATTAAGATTTGTCATGCATTTGATCAAGTCATCAACAGTCGTCGCTCCATATTTTGCCACTCCTTTCCCGTTAACCTCTGAAATCAATGGCTTCTTTCTTGTAAACCTTCTTTGATAGCCTAGCTCTTTCAGAGTCTTTCTCACTGCATATAGAGACATTTCAATGCAGTTGGCGACATCTTTGACGCTCTGACGACGGTTTCTGATGACTTCCCTCTTCAACATCCTTTCCGTTAGCTCAGACACTTGGTCTTCCTGAATGTTGTTCCACATGACAATGGCCGTCTTCATTAAATTTCTTGACAATATTATTGACCGTTTGATGATTCACCTGACAAAACCTAGCAATTTCTCCATTTGATTTGCCACACTGATGCAATCCTATTATTTGCCCTCGTTGAAATTCATCAGTTTCCTTACTTCTGTGAATTTTCATTGCAAAATATACGTCAACTATCGTACATAGATGGGAGTCGCTTGATACTAACATGGTATTGTCTAAAAAAAGAGGAGACATTATTACACAAGCCAAAATTGATGTAATCAAGGGTGGCTAAAAACTTATCATAGCCCACTGTACGCATGCGTATTTTTACGATATTTATTACGTCTACACGTACACATAATAAGACTAGAATGACAGACCATTGTATTTTTAATACAACGTAATTTCGCGACGTAGACGATCCTATGTTTGTATAGATTCCATTTTTATTATCCTAGAACTTTCATACAGTATTGGCAAAAATTGGGTGACTTTCCGCTACTTTTTTCTTGGTTTCAAATTCAGCGTTATTCTTCTTCTATCCTTTTACCACCAAAGTCTATAGAGCTATTTAAGCATCTTTTGTAATCATTTCACCTCAAGAAAGGCGAGAATTTCACTAGTACTCAGGGGTTTACAGAGAGTACAGGTGAGAGAAAGGACTGGGTATAGAGAGGAACGAGGAAAGGATAATAACGGTGTTCAAGAAGATAGAAGATGGCTATGGACTTTGCATTTAAATTTTTGAAGATTGTAGTTATCAGGAAAGCAAGGAAATGGAAGACACAGGCGGGGAGTGCAAGAAAAGAAACTGTTGGAGTAGAATTGGCGGTTATATTTAACTTGTCCAACATTAAGAGGTCAGGTTCTGGATATCAATCTAGTAGCACGCTTAAATTCATATATTCGGGGCACCAGGAAAAAAGCTCGTCAGTGCAGATGCCATTAAAATATTTGTAGAAAAGACAGAGGGAAGCCACTTCACAATGGTACTAAAGTGACTCGAGATGCAAAGTATAAAAATTTTAAAATAAAATATCAACAAGACATTTTCGCAGTAAAGAAATTACCAGCAATACATTTTTTGGGAAGAAATAAAAAATATTACCAGCAAAACATTTCTGTAAGGAAAGAAAATATTACCAGCAATACATTTAAAAAAAAATTACTACTTCTCCCAAGAAAATTAGATTTTGGCATTAAATGACCCGTATGGAGCTAGTAAGCCGCTAAACAAACTTTGCATAATAAAATCTGACACCCCAAAACAAGTTATTTATAATTTTAATGTGGATAACTACTATTAGCTAATATTATACTAGATAGTATTTATGTATAACATGTCAAGTATTATACTAGATATTATATATAAATAAGTATTATACTAGATAGTATATATAAATAAGCATTATACTAGATAGCATATATAAATAAACTCTGAAAATGTTTGTTACGTAATAGTGCATACTAATTGTACTGAGATTCACTTGCATATATATATTTACAGTGTGAGTCAGGGATTTGGCAACACGGCTTTAGAAAGAAATGAGTGACAAATTTTAACTAAAATCTTGTATTTTTTTTTTCCAACAGCGCCCTACAAGCCACGACTCTAATGCTGTAGATGCAAAAGCTTGTCATTCATCTTCCATTCAATGCCGATCATAGATTAGGAGATTGCAGGCATCTTAAATCTTACCATGTCCATGGTGTTTAAGATTATAGTTCCAGACAGAAGAAATATGGTCCAAGCATGTTCGGGAGAAAAGTAAAATAAATATGCTCTAATCTTATTTCCTGGACTTTTCTTCTGAAAATTCTGACAGAATTTCCTCCTTGTCTGAGAAGGAATATTAGTAATTTGAAAAAGTAGATCATTAAAACTGATTGACGCAACATGTCTGTCGTTTATAAACAATTTGCCGCTTAAATACAGAATATGTGTATTAATATATATATATATATATATATATATATATGTGTGTGTGTGTGTGTGTGTGTGTGTGTGTGTATATATATATATAGAGAGAGAGAAAAAGAGAGAGAGATAGCGAGAAAGATAGATAATGAAGAGGTTCAGATAGAGAAACGAATTAAGATAGATAGATAGATAGATAGATAGAAAGAAATATGTGTGTGCTTGTAACAGAAAATAGCATTGCAGCACACTAACAGACGATGCAGATTTCGAGCTGGGCAAGTATGTGCATGCTATTTTGGAGTAGATATTTTGATACAATGTTATATTTTTACTTTTTTTTTTCTTTTGAAGAAGTAATATTAATATCAGTGCACCGTCTCTGTGATATTTTGACGCTGGCATATACTGCAATGAATGAATCTGCTCCAAACGGAGACGGAAAATGCACCTATGCTCTTTTCTTTCCAATTAGACACGTTTGAAAGAGTTTGGCATTCGAAAGGCTGAAGTGTTATTCTGTGGAATTTCTTTGTGAGTCGTTACTGAAGATTCAATGCAACCAGCAACATTGTGAGCAGCCCTTTACTCATAGACCAGTTCATAGACGTTTACTAAAATTGAAACATTTTAAGAGTTCCGTATTTGGCGCCAAGGCGTGCGAAGATCATAACAAAAATAACCTCATGAGTGTCAACATGGACCACTGAGAATTGTTCAGTTGCGTTAGAGTTCCAGATATGCTTACCTGTAACCAAAAATTCACTTACATACATACTTTAATGTTTCCGGGTTTCACTCGCTAGAAAAGTCAGAAACTATAATTATATTTTATTGTTAGTTTAATATATTCTCAAAAGCACATCTTAAAATCGAACCCTTTTATATGACTTCCTATTTAATGACAATTTTTTTCTTATTTTTGTTCTACATAGGCTATTATCCAATTATCGAAAGCAGGCTTATTTAATTTAAAATTATACATGAATGTTTTATATATTTCTAAGATTTGGGGGTTTATTATATAATTGATTTAACATTTAAAGATTTGTTACGCGAATGCTAAAGAAAATGCATTTATCATTGGATTCGGACATAATATGCTTCCAACTAACCGCTTCTTATAGATTTAGAGATTTATATAACGATCGTGTAATCCACAAGAACACGAGCGAGGAATGGAATAGAGAAAGTTGTCTTCCATAAAGTAAACAATACAGTAAACGATAGAAACTTTGTTAGAAACAATTTTTTTTAGAAACAAAGAAAACCTGCTGACTTGCTGTGTAATCCCTAAGTTTCTTGAGATAACAAGTGTAATCAGATGTAACAAAGATGTGGTTATTCTGAACGATGCAGCCAATACTATAGAAGGAACATGTTAGCAAGAAGGGAATTTAGTGGAAATTTTGTATAGGTAGACAATTGAGTGTTCTTTTACACATAAACATGAAAGTGGCTATGAGAATATGAGTCCCTCAGAACACTGAAAGCGAGAATGGTTGTGAGAATTAACGAACATCCTATTTAAATGATATCTGTCAATGCATGATTGAAGAAGTACTTGGAGGGATAGTAAGGAGAAAAAACATTACTTAGTACTAAAAAGGATATAAATGTTCGACAGACATGATCGTATATTTCCTGAAGTATGTACACCCTTTTATAAATGAAGAAGCATCCTCTAATGTGAATCAATCTTTAATTAGAGAACTTAAAAAAAGATCATTAAACAGGAAGATTTATTCTCCATTATCAAATCCTTTCTAACAGATAGGTCCCTGAAGACATTGTAAAGGAAGAGTTATTGGAAGCATATGAGATCAGTGCCGGTGTTCCTCGGGGAATTTTACTCGCTTCTACCCACTTTTTGCTCTATATTAATGATCGGCCTAAGAACAGACTCCGATCTTCAGTAAATATCTATATGGATGACGCAAAAGTAATCAGTTCAACAGGTGTTTGCACTAAATCGACTCTGAATACAATATCTCGCATCGCAAAGTAAGCCTCACACTATTTTACAGGTGCTATTCATATTATTTATTTAATAAGTAAAATGACTATTATATCCTCTCCATTTATATGCAATCCTCCTTCAGGACGCGGGTGATTATGGCACGCCACAAATACCTTTGAGGAACAGACTCCCGTCACAAGCAGCTCCAAATATCTGGATGACTTGAACCTAATAGTTAATCCATCCCTCTGATCTAACTTCGGTGGGTCACTGAGGCAATATGCTTCTAAAATTAAATACTTTTAAAACCAAACTAGTAACGTTCTACCATCACTGAGCAGACTCTAATCTTTAACCTTAATCCTGATGCAATGGTGTTCTCTGAAGGATGGCACTTTCCTTGAACTATATACCATCTTTACAAAAGAACAGATCAGATGAAATATTGTGTATTCCTTTGATATCTGGGCTAGAACTGCAAGATCCGCCCTTGCTTGAGTTGATAGAGTTCAAAGGTCTCTACGCAGCTTTGTGGGTAATGAATTATTTTCCACTATACAACCCCTTCTCCACAGATGAAACGTCGCAAGCCTCTCGTTAATCTATTGACAAACTACATTCCTTATTTCCCCCAGCCGTAACATTTAAAGCAGAGAGACGCCATGCCTCAAGGATGAATCACTCTCATTCTTTAAGAAGTTCCTCTTGCCAAGGATTGCTGATTTGTTGTACAGCCTTCCAGTATGGTGTTTTCCTGATCACTACAAACACGACCATATCAAATCTAGAATTAATCGTTATCTTTCCTACAACACCGCGCAGTTAGCCTCTAACTTGGGACTTGTACTGGGCGAAGGTTAGTAAAAAATACATAAAAGCAACTTTTACTTTTCTTTTATAATGTTTTACATCTGAATGCGGAATAGATGATCAAACAAATCCGGGTTTTTTTTATAGACTAATAAAAAAGTGAAACTCAATCATAGGAAGAATTTGAAAAGAGGACATTAGAATAGGGATTTTTTCTCTAGCCTTACCTGATGAGGCTTTACATGGGTCCCAAAAGAAATAATAATAATAATAATAATAAGCAGACAGGGTAAAATTATATGGGAAAGCGCAAATATTTTTTCATGGAAGAAAGGCTTGAGCATACTGTGGTATACAAAACTTTGAGTCATTTCCGATCAACGAAGTTAAGCAATGTCAGCATAGATAGGTGATCGCTTGGAAATGTTAGCTGTTGTAAGTTTGGATGTGCGGGTGGTGTATTGGATAACGGCTCGGGATTTGAAATGTCAGCCGTGTTCCAATTTCAGTCAGGTTCGTTATATTCACTTTCGCGTAAATATCTTCTCCCCATAGATATGGGTTAATTAGTAAGACATGTATTACTACGTCATTATCATCACCAAAAAAGACTTATAATCTGAAAAAAAAATTCTGGCCTTAAATAACATGCAAAGAAAACACATCAATCAAATCAACAATTAAATATTTCACATCGCAAGTAAACCGCACACTATATTATAGGCGAAATTCATATTAGCTATTTACTGAATATACAAAATGATTATAATATAGTCGTCTTTTATGCGCCGTGACCCTTCAGTACGTAGACGAATATGACTCTCCATAATTTCCTTTGTCACTGTTAGTAATGTCTGCAGTTTTGCTATCCCTCGAAAAAACTGTTCTGCCAACCATTTGCACAAACTAATTAGGTAGGTCATGAACTGCTTCCCTGTGTTTGTCATATTTTGTAAGCCCTCTTTCCTCTTTTACTCATTATATAACGAGGAATTTTCAAATATCTATTTTTGATATTATATACTATTGTCCTTTTTGTTTCCATTTTCTCTAAAGTCTCGTCGTAGTTCACCTATTCTGACTATGGCATTCTCAGCATCCGTCTGCACAACCACATATTTGTTGCCTCGTGTATCTTCATCCTTTTCTCGTTTCTTAATGTTTTGCTTAGCTTTTGGAAAGCATCTTCCCCTATCCCAATGCGAATTCGGTTTTCAATATCGGATTGCTAACTTATAATCTGGAACATCACCAAATTTTCAGGCCAATATTTATTTCGTCTTCAAAGCAAACGGAAAATGGTCACTATAAATTCGGTTCTTCTTGATTAATATAAAAAAAAAATTCTTAAGGATTAATGTTATCTATGCTGTTGACAATCAACACATACATTTGGAAGCAAGAATTGAAAATTAAGAGAAATTAAGTGCTCGCATTGGTAAAATTTAATGATCTGTTACATGTTCTGCTTCCATTTGTGATTGAATCAATACTTTCGATAAACAGGTTAGAAAATTTTCATTCACTTCAAATTCTTATATTGTTTTTTTTTTGATTGACAAAAGAATGCAATTTTATATTTAGCCCTATAAATGTTAAAGCAGTGCCTCGCTGTTAAGTAATTGTTAGTGACTAGGAGTTTTCCACCATCATCAATATTACTTCAAGTTTGGCACAAGGCTTTACGTGTGTTCCAAACGAAGCTAAGTTTAATATAGAGAACTGGGTTTCCGGTTTCTTTTTAAGTCTACTTCAACTCTAAAACTTGTAAAATCTCCAGCTCAATTTAAAAAATTTATTTACCTTTTCTTTTTTTTTAACACAATAGTAGATAAGTTCACACGCCTCCCCGATCTTTTGAACAGGGAGTAGAGGTATTCTGTTTTGGATTGTGTTTCCGGTTCCTTCTAAAGTTTTTTTCATTCTCTCTCACTCACAGTAGTCACTTACTTCATAGTGCTATTATCGCTTTGCTTGGAGTGAACTGATTTAAAAAAAAAAAAAGATATGTAAATTTTCTTTGCCAGCATAGTGTAAAAGTGAGGTAGAATATTTAAAAACAGTCAGAGATTTAAAAATAATAAACAACCCTGAACATATGAAAGGTTAAACTGCAGTATGGGGTGAGGTATATATATATATATATATATATATATATATATATATATATATATATATATATATATATATATATATATATATATATATATATATATATATATATATATATTGTCTGTAATTTATAAATATGTAGGCGAAAGTGTCGCCTAGATTTTATGAAGTTTGCGGATCTTCTGTGGAAGAAAAAAGATTTTGCTTTACAATTATTCTGACAAAATTGTCCAAGGGAGATTGTTATTTTAATCAGAAATATGCATTGTTGAAAAAAAGTATTAAAAAAGATGCTCGACGATAAAACATAAATATTTGAATGTAACGGAAAGGTCAGTAATTCCGGTGCAAAAGAAGAAGGCCAGACGAACAGTGATGCAGGCAAATACTCTGATAGAATAAAAGGGAAAAAGAAAAATAAAGATATACTTCCATATATGCATATATGTTTGTGTGTTTGTGTCTGTTTGAAGGTTAGGAAATGATAGATAGATAGATAGATAGATAGATAGATAGATAGATAGATAGATAGATAGATATTACACGACGTTAACAATTCTAAAAACATAAACCCGGCCCAAAAGTACTCATTTTCTGGTCTCTATATGTTAGAGCTTAATGTCAACATTTTTCTCTACAGATTTATAGATAATTTTTTTTTTGACTTTTGTCTTTCTAAATTCTTTCTTATGCATAGCTAAAACATTTTTCACCTTCCATTAAATATATATATATATGAATTTTTTAATATTTTTTTTTGTTCAATACATATATATATATATATATATATATATATATATATATATATATATATATATATATATAATGTTCGTTCGTAGTTTTCATTTTTTTATCAGTCTTTTTCTCATTTTCTCATTTTACTTTTTATTCGTCTGCTACCATTCTCTTGCAATTGATACACTCTGTTCTGGAAACATGGACATCAACTACGTCAGTGCATTCTTCTTAAATAAAGCAAAATACAAAGTTAAATAAGTAAAAAGTAAGGAGGAACTCAATAGTTATTAGAGTACATGAATGAAAACAAAATATTACTAATTAGATAGAGGTTAAGAATTAGGAAAGAATGAAAAAAATAGAAAAAGAGAGAAAAAGAAAGCAGAAAATGGTGAAAAAATAGATAAAAAGCAAATAAATATATAAAGTAAAACGTACGTCATGTTCATTCATGACGTAGGCGATCGTGACTTTTCTTCTTGTTTGATAAATGAATGAACACGAATTCATTGGAAAGATGGTGGGGTTCATGCCTTCGTCCCACTACAAGGTTCGATTTCGAACTAAAAGTTTTCTACTATTATATCTCCCTGCTATTTAATCTCTAAATAAGGTTGAAAAATATTGGGTTTATATCCTTTCCAAGGATAATAGTGTGAAATTTTCTTCACCGATTAAATTTTCCAACTTAACTAGCAAGGGGAAAAAAAGATATAATATCCCAAAAAGATGGGATCTATCCATTGTAATCATAGAATAATACAGTGTTCCCTTTATATTATTCGGACGATTGTCTTCATCTTTGTCGTCATATATATTACAACGTTTCGGCCGTTGTACGCTCCAGGCTTCCTTCAGGTGGTGGGAATATCGAACTGAACCCTTTATTTCGCTCACAGTGGTAGACTGTTCTAGTTCCAATATAAAGGGAAGTTCGACATTCCAACCACCTGAAGAAAACCGTAATAAATATTGCGACAGAGATGGGGACAATAGTCTGAATAATGTAAATAGTGTACATAATACCTCATCTGAGAAATATAGACAGATACTGAGTGTTCCCTTTCTACAATTTCTATCGATTTGAACTTGTGCTTTATTCATGTGATCTTATTAGAATGAATATAGCACCGATTCAACATTTCAGATTACCTAGCCAGTGGGAAAAGTCGCATTAAACATAGAAACTCGGATCTCTTCACTTGAAACATTGGAATAAGTAAGTTCCTTTTTCTACAATTTCATTGATTCGATTTTGTATCTTAAGTATATGATCTTATTAGAATGAATGTGGCAATGTGTTTCTAAAACTTACTTTAGGCAGTGTCCATTTTAAGTTATCTGACGCTTTCCTGGTTTAATTATTTAGTCGTAAAGCGAGAAGCATTAAGGCACCAGAGTTAAATTTATGTGTTTAAAATTTCGGCTTTTGAGCAGCACCAGTCACCGGAAGTATAACAATGAAGGGAAAATCAGCACGTCAGAAACAGTCGGACTTTTGCCTGCAGGGTTTTTTTTTTTTGTTTTTGTTATTTGTTTGTTTCTTTTTTCATACACAAAATTGTGTGTGAAAAAACAAACAAACAAAAAAAAAAAAAAAAAAAAAAAAAAAAACCTGCAGGCAAAAGTCTGACTGTTTCTGACGGGCTGATTATTCAGTTGTTATACTTCCGTAATTCCGATGTAATTACATCAAAATATTTAAAATACGTGTAAAAATGTAAATATCTAGGGAAAAGATAAATAAATATGAACATAAAATGTTGTGAACCGTTCTAATTATTGTTCAAAAGGTTAAACATCTCACTCATCTGCTAAAATGATAACGCCCCCATACATCTCGTAAAAATTTACTATCCCGCTGAGAGTTCATATAAGCCACAAGTGGGTGTTGCCGCCCACACGTTGATAATCCCTGATATAGCGGGATGTAAACCTGTAATATAACAGGTGGTACCTAAGACAGAAGAGAAATAAGACAACAGTAAACAAAAACGTCAGAAAATCAACAGAAAGGGGAGCAAGAAAAATAAAAACACCGAACAGAAGAAAAAAAGAAGAAGAAGAAGAAGAAAAAGAAGAAGAAGAAGAAGTAAAAATAGTTGGAGAAACCTTTCACTGAAAATAAATATAGCATGAGACACTGACTGACTACAACAACCAAGCAAATATACTGTAAAAATAACTAGATATATCGTTTCCTCCTCTTCTATTATGTAGTGAAGATAGGCGATTATGGCTCTCCACAACTTCCTATGCTTTGTAGCTCTTAGCAGCGATTGGGTACCATCCCTACCGTTCTTTGTTCTTTCATCTATTTACACAAGCTAGGTTAGTCCGTTAATCATTGTTTCCCCTTGTCTCGCGAGTGTAAATGTTTCCAGTTACTCTTTCCATTATTATGTGTCTTAGAATTTTGATTTCTAAGTGTAAACGTACCTTTTGTTTCGATTTTCTTAGAAATTTTCTCGTTGTCCACATGTTCTGCCCATGGGATTCTCGGCATCTTTCTGAAAAATTACATCACTATTGCCTCAGGTTTCTTTTTCATATGTGAGAAATTCGTCAAGCATTAACTACCATATAGGAGGACTGTTATTCCATTGCAATTGAATCTTTTTTCTTTCTTTTCAATGAAATATTCTTGTTTCTTAATATTTTATTTAACTTTTGGAATCCATATTTTGCTATTACGCTCCGCCTTCGGATTTCGGTAACATATTTTCCGTTTCTAGGTAAAACACTTCCGAAATAAACTAAAAGAAATGAATGGAAACATTTATAAAAATAATGAAAAAAAAAACCTCTTATTTAACCGACTTTTATTTATAAGCGTCCTTTTAACTGGCATAAATTCTCGCCTTCAATAAAGGAGATTTCATAATTTAGATAGCATTAGGGAAGGACAATGAAAATAGGGATGGTAATATTAGCCATTTTCTTATCAGGAAACATTCAGCAGTCATTTATCGCTTGAAATTTATAAAATCCTCCCTATAAAAGAATTTTCCTTGATGCCGTATATAATTTTTTGTTTAATGATCATGTTTAATGTAAAATAATGGCGGACGTAATATACACTATTTTTGAAGAGGTTAAAATCCATGCTTCATTTGCAATATACACACGTTTGTTTGTTTGTTTGTTTGTTTTGTTTTGGCTTTTTGTTTTTTCTGAATGAGTTAAACTTCAGGCAAAAATATTCAGGGAGCGCACTATACATGAAGTTGGTGTATACAGGAGTATATACAGTAATATGTTTCCCAATTTCAGTAAATTCTACGGATCATTCCGATATTCAGGGGCTTTTTTTTTTCAAGCTAATATTTATTAAAAAAAACAGAGAAGTGTCAACATCTTGAATATGCCATTATATTCTCTTTGAGTTTTATGTGCTATCCATTTTAGTTTTTACTGCCGTTGAAAGTCTTCGTGTGATGCGGGTTCTTTTATTTGGTACAGTACTTTGGCATTTCTGCAACATCCATCTACAAAGTTCTAAAAAGGATGGGCATCGGTAAGAACGAAATGATTAATTCGCTGGAAGCCATTTTAAGCATTGAGCTGAGAAAGCGGCTGGAGAGATGTGAAAGCTTACATATTTCTGCACTATTAAGGCATCATGGATAACATCTATAACAATGTCTTGATCTGACGAGGCTGTTTAAGAAAACGACTCGAGAATGAATCATCTTTAAAATATCAGGTCTTTGCTTGTAAGCTATAGAAAGTGTTGAACATAATAGTTTGCATACTTGGAACGGTACCAAAAACACTAAATGCGATTGTGAATTCATTTTATACTAGAGAAATTTTGAAGATGTCTACACTATGACTATGCTACTGCGTTTACGGAAAAAGACGCTGGATATTTAGTGAGAGTTGTTATCACTAAGATCATTTGAAAAAACGAAACATGATTGAAACCAGAAAAAAAGGAGAAAAGAATGAAACATAGAAGAAAATTAAATGATCATAAATTAGAAAAATATGAATTAAAAAGTAACAGGACGAAAAGGAACTATTTCAGAAAAAAGGATCCCGGTTGAAAAAAAAAAATAAAAATAATGAAAACTGTTAGATGCTTTTCTTAAGAAAATGGAAAACAAGAAATGGTAATACGTAAAGAACATAGTCGAAAAAAGAGATTTGAAAAGAAATCGGAAAGAAGGAAAAGAAAAAGAAGAACAAGCGAGGAAACAAAAGAGAAAGGCAGATAGAAAGAAAGAAAGAAAGAAAGAAAGAAAGAAAAAAAGAAAGAAAGAAAGAAAGAAAGAAAAAAGGAAAGAAAAAGAATGGCAAAGATAGACAAGCAGAAAGAAAGAAAAAAAACAAAAAGCATGGAAACAAGCAAACAAACTAAGAAAAAGAAAAATGCAAACAGACATGCAGACAGACAGAATGAAAGAATGAATGAAAAAATAAAGGGAAACAAACAGAAAGAGAAGAAACAGAGATCCTGGAAGAAGTAAACAAAGGAAAACAAAGAAACAGATATAAAAATAAAGAAAAATAGAGAAAATGCAATAAAATGGGAAAGAAAATGAGGAAGAAAGAAAACTATAATCGAATAAGATAAAAATCAAAATAAAGAAAAGATTTTACATGAATAAACATAAAAAGAAAGCAAAGAGAAAATATTAGGGCTTGCAAGAGTGAAACGAATTAAGGAAAACAAAACAAGGAAAAGAAAGAAAAAGTTAAATTCAAAGAATAAAAGATTAAAGTCACGAAAGGAACGGAAAATGGCGGCAACAAAGCCCAAAAGAGACGGAAAATGGCGGCAACAAAGCTCGTAAGCCTTTGACATGTGTAGAGAGTCAAATGCGTTTGTAAGGAACATTCCCAATTCTACAGTTATGATGAACATAATTAGAACATATATCAAAGCATTGAGGTGTGCAGACTACAAGGAAAACACTCGCTTTTAAAGGCTCAATATTAAAGGACTCGTGAGTAAAACCTATATTTTCGTGTTATGGTTTCTCTCTTTTAAACAAAGCTTTCGGATTGATTTCCACCTGCGTTTCAGGCTCTCGGGTATTTGTCGTTAATGTCTTAGGTAGGTGATCATGTTCTCCACAATTCCCTTTTGATTCGAAAATAAATTTCCCTCCAAGTCATCCAGTACGATACCTTTGTTGCACACGTATCGTGGGCGATTCTACATGAGATGATGTTCATTTCTAAGGTGACTCTGAATCACGTCATTGGGACCAAACACCGATATGAATCAGAGACAAATTCTCTTAACTTTACATGTTTACTGTAGCAAACGCCCTTTTCAGGTCTACATGAACCCTTTTGATTTTTTTTTCGTAACATTTCCTTTGGATCACAGAGATGAAAAATATGATATCTCTCTTAGCCAGATTTGCTCTGCAACCGTATTTATCCTCAACGCCTGTGGAACTCCCTTCCATTTTCTTGCTTCCCTGATAACTACAATCTTCAAAAATACAAATGCAACATCAATCGCCATGTTCTATCTTCTTGAATCTCGTTCATCTTATGCGCTTTCCTCAATCGCCGCTACCCTCAGTCTTCTCTCTCACTTTCACTCCCTGTAATCCCCTGCATACTACTGTCATTCCCACCGTGCTTGCAGTGAAATGAATAAGAAAAAATGACTATCCTCCTCGAGAATTTGCTTTACTAGTTGCCTTAGTATCTTTAGTGTCAGAATGATCTTAGTGCGTGTATTAGAAATGCCGATAAAAAATCGTATACCTTTGATTATTGATAAGTATCTGAACTGCTGTAATTGAGAAAGGTATTCAAATAATCAGCAACGTTTGCTGGGAACGAACTTGCATACGGAATAGAAAATGAATTGAGGAGATAAAAAAGAAAGCGAAAGGGGTGTAACACGAGAATATGTCTTCACAAAGTATTTAATCTATAACCTATAAAGGAAATCGATACAAAGAGAACTAGATGTCCTAACATGATTTATTAGCAGCAAATAATATCAAGGTGATAATATGATGACAGTAGCTACAGAAGGAAAACTGAAGCAATTCCTAAACGTGGTAGTAAAGACAACTGAGAAGAAGGGACTAATCGCAAATTAAACGTATGGTCACTAACAAAACGTAGATAGCATTATTTAATATCTGTCTATATTTCTGAGATGAGGTATTGTAATTATTTACATTATTAATATCGTTCGGACTGTTGTCCTCATCTTTATTGTCATGTTCACGACGTTTCGGCCGCGGTACACGCTGACCTTCTTCAAGTGATTGGAATTTCGAACTGAACCCTTTATTTCGTCCACCGGCGTAGATTTTCATTCCACGTGCCATGCCTCTTCCTTGATGACACGTGTCCCAGTGGATAAAAGCGTTGTTTGGATCCATTTTCCTGGCCCAAAGAACTTGAATTCAATACCTGGCTACTGCAGTGGTGAACAAAATATTTGAGAGTTGGGTTAACTGACGTATCCTGAAGATGTCTGGCATCTGAAACAATGTAAATAAGATAAACAGTACTATTCAAAATTTGAATTAGAACTAGAAAACGCAGAATAAAACATGAAAATAATGGAAAGTTTTAAAAGGTCAAAGGAAATGGGGCACAGAAATCCGAAGTAATATTCGAATAATGAAGGATGCTTTCCAAAATCTATTTAGAAACAGGGAAAATTCATTAGAAAGATATAACAGCATGATATGCTTCTATATAACATATCTTCTTTACAGAGAATGTTTTGTCCTCGTTCAAATTTTCTGCGGAAAAGTTTTTGAAGAGGAAATTTAGGTTCAGTGGTATCAAAATTTCTTGATAGCAAGCGTAGATAGGAAAGTGCAGTGAACACTTCAATGGTCGTAATGGAAGGCCTTGAGAAGTAACTAAACATCAATTGTAAAAATACAAAAATTTAAATATCTTTGATGTGTTTTAACATAGGAGGCAATATGTTATACTGGAAGGTGAAATATGTCTTCGAACAGCTAAGCAATGCATTACAAGAAAGGAAAATCTCGTAAGTAAGAACGAAGCGTGCTGAACTTTTATGTAATATCGGTCTTCTTATATAGCAGCGATTGCTAGACATTTTGCCTCCGCAAATGACGACCGGAATTCAGCCAACAGTTTCCGATTCTATAGAAAAATGCTGAGAATACCATGGCCGCCATATGTAAGTTAATTAGACGCTTTAAGGAAAATGGGAACAAAATGAACTTTCATACCGTTGAAATTTATGGGACTCATGATGAGGAGAGAAGGCTTGAGAAATGTGACACTCAGAAAACCAATCGAAGGCAAGAAAAGCAGAGATAAAAATCGAATAACCTACTTCTCGAGAATGGTAAGACAGTGACTAGGAGGAGACAAACGTTGTTTAGAGTTACGAAGTGTAGAGAAATGTGGAGAGCCACGATCAACACCTCTGTTTGATTTATTGTCGCGAACATATTGCATTCAATTGAAAGCTTACTTATACCATACTGATACTTTGTCATGTATAGCTTCTTTCTCTTACTAAAAGGTCATGATGATTGCGTCTTTGACTTCTTGAATTAGTTTTCCCTGATTTGAATACCTGACACAGAAGAAAGTTTCGTGCAGACCACAGTCATTGTGTTTCAGATCTCTAGAACTATGATGTCAATACCTGTGGCGTTGCTATATTTTTGCTAATTGATGATTTTATCATTACTGGTAGTTTTAGCGCCTCACCTGGCTCGAATTTGATTGGTTGGGTTTGAATGTGGCTAGAAACCTGTGTGATGTGTTTTGTAACAAATATCGTATAGAAAAGCTCGGAGCTGCGACTTATAGTGGAACAGTGAAATATCCGCATGGCGAAATGGTTTCGGATCTACATAGTTTTGTTTTGGTTCTAAATATTGAGTTGGATGCATCGTTTCAGGTAATTCACCCCAAATAATGTAAACTTCTTTTATGTGCTGTGTCTCTTCAGGACCTAGGCGACTATGGCTCTCCACTTCCTCCTGTCTCTTAAAGCTCTTAATATGTTTTGCCTTTGCCTTTTTTATTTCTCCCATAACCTGTTTCGCCATCTACTTACTCAAGCCCATTAAGTATGTCACGCGTTGTTTTCCCCTATCAGTCCTGTGAGTATCAGATTTTCCAAGCCATCATTCTTCAATGCGTGTCCAAGAAATTTCAGCTGCTTCTTCTTGATGTTAAGTATAAGTTTCCCTTTTGTTTATATTCTTTCTAAAACCTTGTCTTTGTTCACATTTCCAGCCCATGTTATCCTGTGCATACTTCTGTAGAACTACGCTTCCGTTGCTTCGATACTCTTCTTCATCTTTGAGGAGATTGTCCAGTATACGACACCATACTGGAGGACAGATATACCGTAGCAGTTCAGTACTCTTTTCTTTGTTTCCAGCGAAATTTTCCTGTTTCGTAATACTGTATTTAATTTTCGGGATGCGTCTTTAGCCATCGCAATATGACTTCGTATCTCAGCGTCGCACTTTTCGAACACTTCCCAATTATTCTCATTTCTGCACCTGATTGATATTAGTGACCTCGACGTTTAAACTGCATTCCCGGACTCATCTTTCTGTTGATAACCATGCATTCACTCTTTCTGTAGTTTATGATTAGGCCTTTCTTCTATATGAGGTTTTCTAGTTTCCTTTCCGTGTCTTCTATCAGCCCTATGGCATCTGCATGTCTTAAGATACTGGCCGCAAATGATGAATCCTGGAAGGATTTCCAGTTCACTCAGAATCTTTTAACCATAGGTTCGTTTCCACTTGATGTTTTTGATTATCTAATGTCTTTCACGAATATGTCAAAGTTGCTGAGCAGCTCAAACAGATCTTTCTAGTTTACTTTGTCGAACGTCTTTGCGTAGTCTATAAAACACAGGTACATGTTCTTCTGCATTTGTATTGCCCTTTCTGATAACATTCTGAGCATAAATATCGCGTTCCTTGTTCCGCATTCTTTGACGAACCCACACTGTACTTGTCCTATCTCTGGCCTGATTCTGCTGTGCGCTTTATTTATCAGAATTCGGATGATGTGTTTCATTATGTGGCTAATTGCCCGGTGGAGTCCACATTCGTTTGCGCCTAGTTTCTTAGGTAGTGCTGTGAAAATAGAGCTGCTTTGATCTTCCGGTATATCACCACTTTTTTAGATTGTATTTATTATATCTGTAATCTTGTCTATGTCGAAATCATCTAAGGCGGCCAGTGTCTCTATTACAATTTCGTTTGGCCATGTCGTTTTTTTTTCTGTTTCATTTGGGCAGTACAACTTCCACTTCGGTTTTTAATATTTCCGGCCCGTCGGTATTTCTGTGTATTGCCGATTGTTCTCTTTCGTCGTAGAAGAATTCTTCAATGTATTCGTTCCAGCCGTGAAGAATTATTTTTCTTTCTCTAATATGAGCTTTCCACCCTTGGGTTTTATGCAGTTTGCTGATGAGCATGGCTTCTGTCTTGCTAGTTCCATTATTTTTTATAAATGTCTCCTCTACCTGTGGTTTTTTATTCTCTTTATTTCATCACTATTCTTTAGCCTGACTGCATTTGTTCCTTATTTCATTGTGTAGCTTTCTGTATTTCGTCCCGTGTCTTGTTAATGTTTTCTGCCTCCATTGCCTCATGTCGAGAATCTCATCAGTGATCCATTCTTTTTTTGTTTTTTTTTATTTTTATTCTTCGTCCATTCTCCTTTGGGATGTTGTCGTTTGCTGATGTCACTAAAGCTTCTCTTAGTGTGTCCCATTTCGAATTTCCATTTCCATTTTGTTCCTCGTATCTTCTTTTCGGACTGTCGATATATTTTACTTCAATTTCGGGTTGTTCAGGAGATTGTTGTATTGCAATTTGGGTCCTTCGTTACGATTCTTCAGTTTCTGTAGTTTTCGCTCTTAGTTTACACATAACGGGGATGTGGTCGCTTCCGTAGTCGGTTCTTGGGTAAATTTTGCAGTGAACAACAGCATTCCTGAATCTTTTGTTGATAGTAATGTAATAAATTTCTTCCTGGGCTTGTCCATGTCCATAATCGTCTTGGGTGATCTTGGAACCAGGTGTTGGCTATTCCATGGTCATTGGCCGTACATCCATTTTCTCCGCGTTTGTTGCGGATTCCTAGTCCGAATTTGCTAGCTATCTCCCTCACCCTCTAACTGCCTACTTTGGCATTCAGATCTCTCATGATAATTTTAACTTCTTGTGATTTGCAGTGAGCCTTGGCGTTGTCGAGCATGGAGTAGAAATATTTGATTTCCTCTCTGTACATTGTACTGTCGGTGCATACACTATTACATTAGATATACTGAGAAACTTTCCTTACAGTTTAACTACGAAAATTCTTTCATATAATTGACAGTATCCTAGAAAGCATTTCTTGATGACTTGATCTAGTATGACTCCAACTCCTTTTTCATTTTTCTCTGCCTGCATATATAATACTGTGGTTGTCACATACTTATAGCAAATATTAATTCATCCCAACAAATTATAGATTTTAAGTCAAAATTTGTTTGTTTTTTTATTAAATTTTGAGCACTTTTTTAAAATAATGAATTTTTAAATCAAAACTTTGTTTAGCCTGTCTCACAACAAGTCCAACGTTCAGAACGATAAATTATCAAAAATCAGGGAGGTATAAAGATTTCGTAAATATCGATGATATACTTACAAGGAATTCTTTTTTTACAATTTAAAACAAAACAGAATAAAACGCCTTTTTGGCGACACTGACCCTACACTAAGAAATAGCTCACCCGGTTCACCCACATTTGGGCGATCGCAAAGGTCAACGTATGTACCAAAAATATACACAATATTTTCAATACGTCTATTACATTTTTAGTAAAAGATTGTGTATGTCTCTCTGGATAAGTACTAATAGTATTAAAATAAAACAAACTCTTGATACCTTTGAAATTACTTAAACCATTTAAAAAAGGACGTTGATATTCTTCTTTACTCTCGAACAGTCTTTGCAATCATGATAGTTTGCTTAGAGAAAATCTCAAAGATAGTATGAGATACTGTAGGAAGTAGTGGTCTCCATTACATTTCTGTTTTTAAAATTACCCCCTTAGTAGTTGCATAGATTGTGATTGTTTTAATAAAGAATAAAAAAGAGATCACAAAAACGAAATATGAAAGAATTCTAAGAGTAAAAAGTGGGCCAAGCGAACAAAAATAAACGAGAGATTCCAAAGAATTGATTATTTTAATAAAATAAAACAAAATAGGAATGAACACTGACATTAAAAGTTACCATTGTTGTGATAATACTAGTTCTCGACAAAAGTAAGAAAAATACTCAATGATACTAATAAGGATAATAAATATTAAAGAAATATTTTATTTGATTCATGCCTTTGCGAAATTTCGTCGTTTTTTTTCAAATTATTCTTCCAAACTTTGTTTCGAAAACACTATTTTTTTCTCTGAGAAATTTCATTTCTTTTCAAATTTTCGACACAAGGTAGTTTTCGCATGACATTTTGATCGGAATGAAATGTCATTATTTTTATAAAGTTGAAAGAAAAGGGAAAGAAAGAAAGAAAGAAAGAAAGAAAGAAAGAAAGAAAGAAAGAAGAGTGGGTAATGACAGGAAAAGGGAAGATAAAGCAAATAAATAAAACAGTGAATAAAGGAAATGAATAGACGAAAAAGTAAACGAAACATAAAGTGCCTGGCAGAATAAAAATAAAAAAGAATAACGAATAAAACAAAAATAAACCCGGTGGAAAATGCCAAAAATAAAGTGAAAACATAATAATAAATAAGCGTAAAACTTTAAAAAGAGTACACAAAAGTGTATCGTCATTGATCCGTAATCGAACGCGTCTTGACTTCAATTTTACATGGTTGATCATCTCTGTCACTTTCTCTCTCTTTCGCACACTCTATCTATCTATCTATCTATGATTCACTTTCGTTGTCAATCTCTCTATTTCTCATTCATTTTGTTCATATATAAATAAAGAGACAGGCAGAAGTGTGTGCATATATATATATATATATATATATATATATATATATATATATATGTATGTATGTATGTATGTATATATATGCACACACTTCTGCCTCTTTATATATATATATATATATATATATATATATATAAATGCATACATACATACATATATATATAATTAAAACAAAAGATTATACACGTATGCTAATTACATGATTGAATCCAACGTCTTTGTTCATTCCTGGTCTCGCTAAGCAAGGCCACAAACGTGTCCCAAAATTCCGACAAAATCTTTCTCTTCGTGCTTCAATTTAGTCAAAAGGTTAATATATAATAAATCCTATCAATCTTATGGACAATATTATTATCATTCCGTTGGCTTTTATTCTTATAAATTTTGTGCCCTTATTAAATCTACACACACACACACACACATATATATATATATATATATATATATATATATATATATATATATATATATATATATATACATAAACTGTTTCTCCACAGATGGAAAATTAGTCAACTATCCCTTCCGTGTAGATCAAGCTTTTCTAACGCTTGAAATGTCCTCCGTTCTGTATCAAATGTCACTGCGTAAACTATGCAACGATTCCAAATTTATTTATAAGTTTTACCACGATTTATGATAGCATTCCGACCATAATTATAATATTTCCTCTTTCAGCGTGTTGTACAATGCTACATTGTTATCTTATTTCATTAGTATCATAATTATTAGTTTCATTATGGACTAATCAAGCTGATTGTTCATTGAAGCGCTCATTCTCTCGCTCGTACTTTTCTTAAGAAATATATTGACTTAACTGGAGTATATTTGTCTACCGCCACTGACAAATGCAATCTAACCTTTGTCTGATTTAATACTTCAGAGTTGAATAATAAAAATCACTATTTTCTTTCTTACTAATAAGACGACTATGGAACACAGTAGGAGTATATATATATATATATTCGTTTAAATTGACAGCAGTAATTGCACTACTGTAATTAGACGTAGAATATTGTCCTCGCGTAAGTAGTGTAAATAATGATAATTCTTCATCCCAGAAATTCAGACAAAGATTGACAATATTATATTCGATAAAGACGCCATCAAAACGTATACAGCTTCTTTTAACTAGCCTTGCAACACACACAGGTATACAGACATACATGTGTACATACATATATATTAAATGAAAATATCGATCAAATCCGACAGATCGGTTAAATAAAAAACAAATAGGAAAGCCGTTATACATTTAACGTGTTTTCCTGATTATTTACCTTCATTAGATATTTTGAAACTAAAATAATTCAAAATTATCCTTTGCTTCAATTAAAACTGTTTTCTTTGGTCCAATAGACGTCACGTGATTATTTTATGACGTAAAATGGTAATGACATCTCCGGGCGCCAACCGTTAAAATGTGGTAAATTCTAATTAAAACATTGTAAATAAGTGCAATCGTAGATTTATTTATTTATTTTTTTTTTTTTTTTTTTACCTTTGTGACGTGAAAAGTGGAGATTATTGAGCCGTTGATTTGACTGATGCATTTTATCCCCCCCCCACCAAAAACAAAAACGAAATCAAAACACTGACATGATATTAATATCGTAATTATACAACACTAGGTAATAGTTTGGGAAACAAACAGAAAAATTATAGAAACTGTATTTTTGTCACTATCAAATTAAATAACAATATTGATAGAACAGCCATAGTATACACATTGAATAGGGATATTAAAAAAAAAACTATTCATAAAATTCAATCATTTCCCATGAAACTCTTAAGAACTTACAAGACCTCAAGCATTTCATGAGTTCGCACAAGACAGGGAGTTTGGGTGAGCTATTTACAAAGTTGTAATCTTTGATTTGCAATGTGCCTTCAAGACGAAACATCTCTAATGATGGTGACGTCTGTTTTGTTCTTTATGTATGCCTGTAAATATGTGTATGAGTTTTTAAATGTTATTTATCTCGTTTTCATTTTTCTATTGGCTTCACGTGTGTACCTCATAGCACACGTGGCCCTGCTTAATACTTGAATTGTTAGCGTAATCAGAGTGGGAATATAGAATTGAGAATATATCGTACTATATTAACAGAAATGTTTCATCATTTTACAATTGAAATTGCTAGATTAAGCCAATCATTTCTTTTTTATAAATGTATCTCATTGTTACAGATTTCATTTCAATGCGTACAAAGAAATGCAGTCACAAAAGAACGAACATACGGAAAAATATCTATGTGGATATATCATTGATCCTGACGTGGCATCTTTTTCTGTAAATGTTTTCATGGTAATTGTTCCGATTTTTTTTTCTCTGTGGTACCTTGAATTTCACGAATAACACCTATCACTGAATTTAGCCTTTCGCTAATTTCAGTGATAGGTGTCATCATTTTTTAGTTGAAATGATTAGGTCTAACCGTAAGTTCTATGCTAACATTTCCTTCTCTATCACTTCTCTCCTGTGGAGCTCCCTTCCGTCCTTTTTCTTTTTAGTTAATTTTGAGCTTAAAAAATTATTCAATTATTCTCATCTCTTTATTTTTAATTTATGGTTTTTATTGTTCATTTTCCTTAATAAAGTTTTACTTTTCCGCATATTTTTTCACAATCAGTAACTTCTCTTAGTGGCTTTATGGCTTAGTTTGAGGTGAAATAATTAAAAGTATATTAGGAACTTTTTTTTCCATTGTATGACACATGAGGAATATCGGAAGAGAATGTACAATTGCTTGGACAATTCTTTAACCGTACCTATATTCATCAGTGTGTGTGTGTGTCATTGATTTCGTAAAAAAAGGTAAGTTTGCTTATTTTTTCATTTTTACAGTTTAGTGTATAAGCAATCGTACACCTAGATAGAATTTTCACCAAATGATCTGTTTAATAAAATTTACCCCAAGACAGTCCGAAAATTATAATCGTTTTATGTTACTTTCGACCATACTTAGTACTTATTAGGGCTTTAATTTTATCCTTTACAACTGAGAAATATTTTACTTAATTTAATCCTGGCAATTTTAAATAAACGTAATAATTTTCATTTAATTGTAAATGTATCGACTGCAAATGATGCTATATATAACATCGGATTTCTGTTTTACATGTTGCATTGTTTGTTACGAGACTACACAGACAGTTATATTTCGGCATCTGCTTTGGCTTACGGCTAGCTACATTACTTTGAAACCAAGCTTCCCGTACGATTACCGAAAATAAGCAATGCCGAACCTGGTTAGTATCTAGATGGGTGACTGCTTGAAAATACCAGGTATTGTAAGCTTGATTGTGGGGTGGTGTAATGGATAATGGATTTTAATAGGAGAACCGAGTTCGAATTTCAGTTGGGTTCGTTCACTTAAGCTAAAATACTCTTGTAAAAAGGATGAATCCACCTTTTCCCCCGACAGCTATGTGTTAATTGGTGAGTCTTGTATCCTCTAAATCATTACTATATATAAAAAATATTACAATTTAAATACATTTTCTGGATTTGAATAACATGCAAAGGGTTGATTAGACGCAGAAAACGAATCAATGACTCAACCAATCAATTTACCTGAATTATTATAACATCACCAGTTCGTAGATCACACATATGTTGTATTTCTTGTAAGCAATCATGTATTCTGCTTGATTGTTAATCCTTTCCCGTTTTTTTTTTAAATTTTAATAATTTTGAAGGGTTCTTTCTGCGTCTGCTATCAACAAGCTGCTTATTTTATTCCTTTTACCTTGGTATGTCTTCTTGTTTTCTCAGTGTTATATTCCTTAACTATGAACACTAATAGGTATGTTCCAATCCTCATGAATACGTTGGACACTATTGTAAGTGGGGGTAAAATGCTGTCTAAGTAGTCCACAACTAGCAGTGGTTTGCCTATTTCACGCCGCTGGCGAGTATAGTATTTTATAGTATTTTGTTGATATTATAAAGATTATCATTTCCTTTCTAACCTGCGTTTTGGTATTCCTCATTTAGTAACCTTTCCTAGGTTACAACGCTGGGGATCGTCTTTGTTTTGTATACTTTTTCAACTACAAAATGAAGACAAGAATGAGAATTCTATGTTTTTCATCCAGTGATCGGACATCCATTACTGGGTAGGCGACACTTAGCACACAGCTATAGTAAAAGACATGAAGAAACGTCTGTGATGATGTAGAGTACATTATAAGTGGCAATATATATATATATATATATATATATATATATATATATATATATATATAGGGTTATTCAAAAAGAATGAACCAATTTCATTACGCAATATTTTAATAAGGAATAGCAATAAAAATCTCCATCTAAGTCGCGAGTATTTTACCCACAATCAACTTTTATTCCCTGTCTTACAAAGGTTCCATGTGGCCACCACCTACAACACGTGTAACATCAACGCAAAACTGAATTCTACCCAGACGCGTATCAGCAAATCGCGATCCACTGAGGTGATGGATGTTGTCATTCAATGTTTAAGTTCATCGGCTGGATCATAAGCGCGAAATTTTACAAGAAAGAAATTACACACGGTGAGGTTTGGGGAACTCGCAGGTTTAACAGGCGCAAACAGCAAGGTCTTGATGAATGCCTGAACGAGGTGTAGTCTGTAAGGTTTCAAATGTAGACCTCTCCTTAAGCACGCCAGATAGTGAGTTGAGAGATCGCAAGGTCAT